ATAGTCTATAAACTATTGCTTTGCCACAGTGACACCTTTTTTTTTTAAACTGGGTCTTATGAATTAAATGAACCCATTTATATTAATCTACATTCTGCCACAAGGCGTTACCTCTCTTCTATCTTGAACCTCCTGTCCTCCTGCTCCCCCCACCTTCTCCTCACTCCACTCCCCCCTTGCTCCTCAGAGAGGGTGAGGCCTCCCATGGGGATTCCATGAAGTCTGCTCCATCACCATGTTGAGGCGGGACCAAGGCCCTCCCCACTGTGTCTAGGCCGAACAAGGTATTTCTCAACAGGAAAGGGGCTCCAAAAAGCCAGATCATACACTAGGGATAGATCCTGCTCCCACTGCCACTGGTCCCACAAACTTCCCAAGCCACCACTGTCACATGCATTTGGGAGGCCTAGTTTGATCTTTTGCAGGTTCCCCAGCTGTCATTTCAGAGTCAGTGATCTCTCACTAGCTCGGGTCAGCTGTTTCAGTGTCTTTCCCCACGCTGCTCTTGACTCCTCCCTTTTTTCCCAATGGACTCTGGGAGCTCAGCCCAGTGGTTAGTTGTGGATTTCTGCATCGGCTCCCATCAACACAGAGACACTCTTAACGTGTGTGTGATGACCTAGTCTTTGGGAAGACAAAAGGGGAAGAAACAAGTAACACTTTAAAAACCTATTAAAATGGGAGGGGCATCAGGTGCTGCGGGATATCTGTACCCTGTGTGGCGATGCATTGCTGTGATTGGTGCAGTAAAAAGCTGGACGGCCAATAGCTAGGCAGGAGGAATGGGTAGGACTTCCAGGCAGAGAGAGAACTCTGGGAAGAAGAGAGGAGTTGCCAGACAGACACGGACAGGAAACAGGAGGTACAAGATAGAAGAGAGGTTTCGAATGTAGATGAATATAAATGGGTTAATTTAATTCATAAGACCTAGTAAAACGAGCCTAAGTTAAAGGCCAAGCTTTCGTCATTAGTAAGTTTCCGTGTGGTTATTTGTGAGCTGGCGGCTGATGAAAGCTTGCTACAAGCGGGGAAGCGAGACTCCTCCTCCGCAATCCCTGTTCTTGCCTGGAGTATCAGCTTTGGTCACTTCCATTCTTTGGCCACAGATATGTAGGGTGACATCAGTAATCAGACAGCTATATTGTGCCCAGAAGCTCAAGGTCCGTATCAAGGGGTTTTCAGAGTCTTTTTTTTTTTTTTTTTTTTTTTAAGATTTTATTTATTTATTTATTTATTATGTATACAGTCCTGTGCCTGCAGGCCAGCAGAGGGCACCAGATCTAATTGAAGGTGGTTGCAAGCCACCATGTGGTTGCTGGGAATTGAACTCAGGACCTCTGGAAGAACAGCCAGTGCTCTTAACCTCTGAGCCATCTCTCCAG